AGAGTCTCTAAAAGTACAATGGGAGCCAGAGCCTTTTCTTATCAAGCTCCACATTTGTGGAATCAGCTTCCAGTTTGTGTTCGGGCGGCAGACACCCTATCCGTTTTTAAGAGTGCGCTTAAGACCTTCCTTTTTGATAAAGCTTATAGTTAGGGCTGATTAGATTCAGCCCCTAGTTTTGCTGATATAGGCTTAGTTTGTCGGGGGACATCTTACTTCTTCCTTCTCTCTGTCTATACCTGTGTACTCTCATGTTCCGATTAACCCAGCTTCCCCAAATGTCTTTCTTTTTGGTGTCTATATACGCCGGGATCCGGAGTCATGGATGATCCTGCGCTCCTCTGTCCTGGATCGCGAGCCCTGGATCGCGAGCCCTGGATCGCGAGTCGTGGCTGTGGTCCTGGATCATAGGTCCTGGATGGATATCCTCGTGGATTCATTTTCCTATTATACACACATGCATTTCCAAACATTTGGACTACCTATGTTGCAAATGTATTATCTTTTCAATTTACACACGGCATCTATTGCACGTATGTCCGTCCTGGGAGAGGGATCCCTCCTCTGTTGCTCTCCCTGAGGTTTCTCCTATTTTTCCCTTTAAACTGTGGGTTTTCTTTGGAAGTTTTTCCTTGTACGATGTGAGGGTCTAAGGACAGAGGGTGTCATATTGTCATACTGATATTTTGTACAAACTGTAAAGTCCACTGAGACAAATGTAACATTTGTGATATTGGGCTATATAAATAAACATTGATTGATTGATTGATTGATTAGCGCATTAGCTACATGCTAACCAATACAATAACCAAATGAACAGACAAAACATAAACATCTCACTCCCAAACATACACAAACGGGTAAATAAACATTTAAACTAACCCATTAATTAAATAAATGGAATATTTGGACGTTTTTAACATAATAATGTGTACAATTATTTGCCTCCATTAACACTGCTCACCTTTTGCGGAGCGAATACAAACATTAGCGCCAAGATGGCGGCCGCACCCAGAACAACAAGAGAAATACGGTGTCCCACAATGGACAAAAAACAACAATTTGCTGTGCAACAGCAACACCTAGTGGCCTGTCAAGGCTGTTACCTTACATAAGGTAGGCTACAAATAAACAGAATCACACGAAGCCTGGTTAGTGTTGCCTGACTTTATAAAGTGTGTTTATAAGCACTACTGCTTGTAGGCAGGCATGACAGTCGACCCATGTTCAGGGGAGGTGGGTTTAGTTTCCTGCACGCCTCGACGTAAGCGACGCCACCTCTTAGCTCCGAAGCTCTTGCCTCTAGACCAGGGGTGGCCAACCAGTCAGAGGTTAAGAGCCACATTTTTTCTATGTTACTGCAAAGAGCCACATCAAACACACAGTCACTGATACCGCTTGTTTCCGTTTTTTGTTTTCTGGAGACAAGATTTCAACCACGTCACTGATGCGTTTTTGTGGCATTGGGATATATATGTTTTAAATCCTCTGGAGCAGAGAGAGGAGCTGTGGATTATTGTTATTGATTAATGCATCAGTGTTTCTTAGGGTCAAAAACACTAAACTCACAACTTAAAATGAAAGCGTTTAGTTTATTTAATAAAAGAGCACATGTTCAATGTGAAAAGTGACAGTAGTTATAGATTATTTGCAATTTGGTGCTATATATATATTTAAAAATAAAATGATATATATATTTTTTTTAAAATACCTTGAATATCAGGGGGGGAGGCGGGGCTCCGTTGGCGGGGCGCAGCGCCCCTCCAAGACAATGGTAGGGGAAACACTGGATAATGTTTAATCAACGATAGGTTTCCCCCCCCTCAAAGGTGATTGGTTCACTGCATCGCAGGTATTATTGTGATTGGCTCTTGGGCCACATTAAAATTATACGCGCTGTCATCCTCTCATACTGACACCACACATACACAACATACATAACACGGGACGAAAGTAACGGAGCAATTTTATCCGAGCCTAAACAACTTTGACCGGCCAAATTACGTCAGAATTATCAGCATTCAATACTTAACAGACCTACTACATATCAGGTTTAACTGTCAGGAGTAGCTAGTGTTGTCACGATACCAACATTTTGGTTTCGATACCAAGTCAAGAATTGCGATTCCGATTCTTTTTCGATACTTTTCTTAAAAAAAGGGAAACAGTCTTAAATGTAATTATTGTGCTTTATTTCACACCAGAACCATAACACAAACTTTTAAACAATGAGAACAATAAATAAAATAAATGACAATAATTCGTATTAAATAAAATTAATAAATGTCTTACAGACAGGCCTCGTGGTGTCCGTAGGCTTGCCCTCACTGTCAGAGATATAGCTCAAATACTTCCAAATTTCGCTTCTGGCGTCTTTTTTGTCAACAAGCCGAGGCGCAGCGGCAGTTGCACTCCCACTTGCAACCATGCTTCTCGTTTTCTCACATGCTCTGGCAGCTAGCGCGTGCACGAGAGAGGGGAGGCACTAAGAGCGTGCTTGAGAGGGGCGGGACTGCAGGCACGGCTGCAGTGCAGGGAGTGGAAGCAGAGCGTTGAACACACACGGCTCTTATTAAAACAGCGCTTTCTCACCGGAGTACTTTCCCCCGTCATTCTTAAAGTACCGATACTAATGAAACGGAGGAATCGTAACGTTTTTAACGGCAGGGTATCACGGTACCTTTCAAGTATCGGTACACCGTGCAACACTAGTCAGGAGTCAGTGTCTCTCCCCCAAATTCACACATATAAAATTCGATATGAACTGAAGAGCCGCATGAAACTAGGCAAAGAGCCGCATGCGGCTCGAGAGCCGCGGGTTGGCCACCCCTGCTCTAGACCGACAATTTTTTGGAGCTGGAAGTGAACCGGATTCCGGAGCTAAGAGGCGGCGCCGCTGCGGTGTGAACAGGAAAAACCGGCACTTTTCAGGCTCCAGCTCCGAGCCGGAACTGAAAACGCGTTGGTGTGAAAGGGGCAAAAGTCCCCTGCTGAGAACAAAATCAAGCCACTTCTGCTAAGTTTGATGAGGGAATTCTTTTTTGTTGCAATTAGTTCTTCGTGAGGTTGATCCTGTTGGATTCAGTACTAGTGAAACTACCCCCACAAGTAGCCTACTATGAAGTATACTTACTGTGTACTTTTCCAGTAATCCTCTGTCAATGTCCCCTCCTGAGTACAAGAATGCATGTTTCTCTGCTATTTTGAATAAGCGTTAAAAAAAACCTTCCTTCATGAGACTGATATTTTTGGACAGAGTATTTTAAGAGGATGGTAGACTTGATATCAGCAATACTTCCAGTCAGTATTCCGGCAGCAGCATTTTACACCTTGGAAAGTCTTAGAGTCTGGCCTGGATAGCTGGTTCCAACTATCCTTCAGCAAAGTGACACACTCTGTCACTCTTGTTGCCCTATTATGAAGCTGCTGTCTTTTAATATATGATTATTTCTCTGCTCCTAGTTCATTCCTCGCAGATTCTTCCATCAGTCTCAGTCATTGCATGTCAGTCAATAGACCTTCGAAAAATGTGTCCAATTCAACAAAATGTTTTTTTGTGACTGAAGGCCAGAGCTAAATTATAGATTGTTTGATTGTGTAATTACAAGGTGTGAGAAAATAAATTCACATCCTCCTATGAAACGTATTTTATTTCCTTTTCCATGTTATACTTATACTTACTTGCATTAGAACATTTGCATGTTGAACTACATGATATCTTCCCCAACCTCTGAGCCTCAAGGAAATTGATAAAAATGTATACATTAATAATGTTGTGAGCAAACATTTCAAATTTAAATATAAAATGAAAAATAAGTTTACTTTTGAAATGATTTCTCACAAAAACCTTTCTAAATTATAGTAAATTATTTAAAAAGGGTTTAGTCAATATACGTTTTTCTGCCTAAAATAGTTGAAATTGAACGTACAACTATATCAAACACCATATGCATTATTAGATTGCATTTAGCTGACGCTTTTATCCAAAGCGACTCACAATAAGTGCATTCGACCAGGAAGACACAAACTTGAAGAAAACAGAATCATATAAGTACATCATGTTTCAAAGAGCCAAACATTTCAAGTGCTACTCAACTGGCTATAGATAAGCCAGTCCTTTATTAGTATATAAGTGCTCTGTTAGCAATTCTATCGCTCGAAGTGGAGTCGAAAGAGATTAGTTAAAATACACAGTAAAAGTACTTCAATGTATTGTAAGTAGTAGGCTAACTAATACAAAGTCAAACAGTATCCATTTCTTTAAGAACTAATGGTAAAATTATATTTTTATCATTCATCAAAGATAGCAGAAAAACATGCATTATGTAGGCCTACTATGGAGGGGACTCTGACAGAGGATTACTCACAAAGTACACAGTAAAAGTACTTCATTTTTATTTCTGGTAGAAGTCAAACTAGAACCGAGTCCAACAGTGTCAGTTTCCTTAAGAACTTGTGGTAAAACATATTTGTATCACTCGTCAAATATAGCAGGAATGAAGAGCAGCTGATTTGAAAAAACAAACTCGAGAGGCGGCGGAGTTGACCGCAGTGCAGAATCGCTGTAGCCTATAGTTTAAATCTCCTAACAATTTTGTCCATTTTAGACATATGCTTATTATATTTACAGCCCATAATACTTTTCTGGGCTCAATATGTGTCTTGGCCGTTTTCGTTGTGATCGCTAAATTCACCTTATTTCCCTTTGTTTATAATATTATCACCGCTTTTGTTTTGAAATCACTTCCGTGAGTTTCGCCCCGCCCCTCGCTCCAATGACCATTTAGTAAGGCAAAAAGCAAAAAGGCCTCTCAAACGCTCTTCCGTTTACGTGTTTAATAAAGAAAAACAATTGGACGGTAGATACACGGATTAGAGTTGAATAAAAGGGGTTTATTTTCTAACTGTTGTTAAAATTGTTATTAAAATAAACGTCGGTTTTTCTTTCTCTTTTCCGGTTTCGCGGCGTCAGAGCAAGGTTGTTACCATGGCAACGAGACTCCACACAGACGCTGTGTGACGAGGGTTGACATCCGTCTTGTGTTAAAGCGCTGCTTACCTTGACACTGTTATAATGATTTTTGGAAAGACTCGTTTGTCGTCGCCAGCAGACTGAAAAGATGGAGAAGTATGAGCAGGTGTTGTGTTTGGGCAGGGGAGGAGCTGCGGAAGTGTTCCTAATGAGGCACGTAGAGAGCAAGAGCCTGCACGCGGTGAAGAGGATAAAGGTAGAGAGCACAAGGAGGACAAACACTCAGCGGACAATCCTGCAGGAAGCTGAGATCATCAGGAGTCTGCAGCACCCTCATGTAGTCACATGCAGCGATGCCTTTGTTAGCTCTGATGGATTTATTTACATTGTGATGAACTACTGTGATGGTGGGACACTAGATGACAAAGTGAAGCAGAGAAAACCAAATGAGTTCTTCACAGAGGACACTGTAATGGGGTGGTTTGTACAAGTTGCTGTGGCTCTGGATTACATACACACAGCTAAGATACTACACAGGGACATCAAAACATCAAATGTACTGCTAAGCAAGGCATGGTGAAGCTAGGGGACTTTGGGATATCCAGAGTAATGACCAACACAGCTGACATGGCCTCCACATGTGTTGGGACACCGAGCTACCTCAGTCCTGAGCTGTGCCAGGACGTCCCATACAGCACCAAGTCTGACATCTGGGCTCTGGGCTGTCTGCTGTATGAGCTCTGCGCTCTCAGATCTCCGTTTGCAGCCACCAACCTGCTGAGTCTGTTCTACAAGATCACCAAAGGAGAGTTTGATCCAGTGCCCAACATCTTCTCTGACAACATCTCCTCTTTGATCGAGACGATGCTCTGCATCAACCCAGAAAACAGGCCAACTGCTGCCTGTATACTCAACAGTGCCTGTGTGCATGATCATCTGGAGTCTATGGAACACACACAGAGTGACTGTGTTCCTGTGAAGAGCGTTGACACTAACACAGCAGGACAAGAGCACAACATGGAGGCCTGCTCCAGCTACGTTGAGGAGGAATATCATCATGATTTGTGTGTTGGAGAGCACAACCACAGTGACTGCCAGTATCCCGAGGACTTTGATGAAGACGAGAGTTTGTCCTCTCTTGAGGAGTGCAGTGACAACTCTGGGTCGACAATGAGGAGCGAATCAGCTGAGTCTATTGGTAATGTAGAAACATACTGTGCAACACCTTCTTATCAGTGATAGAAGAGGAAGCACTCAGACCCTGTTCAAGTAAAACATGATCTAAGACAGTGTAATAATATTTAACATGATGCTTAAGGATTTTAATAATTAGACCTTTGTTAAATAGTTTGTTGTCCACTTACATTATATCACACCTTTTTTAACAATATTACATTTCAGAGAAATCAGCAATTAATGTAACGGTGCGTTTCATTTGGTGTCTTGTCAATTATGTCATATCCCCTTTACCCCATTTAGTAGTTAGTCTAAATTCCTGGGAAACACATTAACACTAGATAATATAACTTAATTTATGCTTGACGCAAATGTAAGTGTAAATGAATGCCACACTATCAGATATGGCCCTTTACACAGGTAAAAGCACCGGTTTGGCCTCTTGGTGCACATACACAGACATGGATAGGCAGAGAAAATGTAGAACTTTAAGGAGATCTCAGTTTGCCACATAATTGCACTGTCGTCTCATTGTTGAAATGAAGCTATACCCAAGGTTGACAAACTGTACATTTTACAAAACAGCTTGCTGATGATAAACATAGCTATGATTCCTCTAAATGTCCTATCTATAAAGTCTTTTCCCTGTCTTTTTAACCAACATGTTCTTCAACATAGAGAGTTTCCTAATAACTTGTTCAGAAGTTCACATAGACAGGAATGATCAAACAGAAGCTTTTAACTTTTCCTTCTCTCTACAGTATTTCCTGATGCCTCAGATCAGGTGGAGTATCCGGATGACTTTGAGGAAGCAGATGTGGAAGAAGAAGATGGAGCGGCCTCAGCTCAGGATGCAGCCGAGGAGGAGTTTCAGCTCTGCGACGCTGGAGGACTGACCATCACTCTGAAAGCGTTGAAGGAAAAAGGCTAAAGGAGACAACCGATGTGGAATAAAGTGACCAGAACAGTTCACTATCTGATGAGTGCCTTGTTCGTGAAGCGTTTTATCCAGTTGCTGTCAAAAAAAGACACCAGACCCTTTATTTTTTAGATATCAGCTGAAAATAAGACAATTAAACACTTGGTGGGGCTAGAGAGGAAGAATGAAGTCCTGCTCAGTGTGGGTTGTCACGTGATGATTCCTCAATGATGTGTGATAAGCGTCATAAGCAGTAGGGGTGATGTTGAATGAATGACGTGACTGGGTGATTCTAAAAATAGGAAGACATTATGATATTCGACACAAGCTTATATGATGTCTCAAACCACTTTCATGTTTTATTTTTACAGATAAAATAGCAGTAGGCAGTGTTTCGTAAACTACTTAAAGCATATCACATCACATTCACATCTTTCTTCGTATAAGGCCTATTATACAGTATAACCTAATATTTCATACTATATGTTTTGTACTCACTCTTGTTTCTTTCAGTGTTTTAATATTACACCATTTCAAATGAAAGGACTTTTCAGGACTTATCTTTGCCTCAAAAAGAGATTAAATCACAATGTCTGTGCAACTGTGCTGAATGATAAAGGAAGTATGTGGTTTATGCAACGTGACACAAAATGTTATGACAGCTGAGAGGTTGTACAACTAAAATGAATGATATAATACTAAGAATCTGAAATACACACCAGAGTTGACTTCACACTAAAGGCACACCTAGTATAGAGTAACATGGGTTTGTCTATATCAAAGAATAATCAAATTGGTTTTATTTTTGAATCTATATGAACCTCTGAGATTAAAATATATTTTTCAATAGGCTGATCAGTTGGGGGTTAACAGTGTTACCTCCACCTCTCCACCTGTTCTCCTGTCTCTCCCTGAGGTGAAGGCCCCAGTCCCATTGTATGGTATAACGAATGAGTGACAGATTAAAGGAAACATCTAAATAAAGTGTCTTTAAGGTCTTCTGTTATCCACCAGAAAAGAGATTGTTGTGTCTCGTCAGATTTGTTAGTTTTTTTATCCTTGTTTACTTGTATTAGTATTATTTCTCGGTTAAGTTAATATTGTCAAGTCCACGCCTACTAACCTTTTTGTTATCTGGCATTTCCTGTTTGTCATTCCCTGTTTTACTTTGGCACTAATCCCCCCTCTCATTTCAGGTAGTTCGACTCCTACCCATTTGTGTTCTTCACTGACCTGATTACCTTATTGTTTTCACAGAGTGTGTATTTAGTCTGTGTTTTTCTCTGTGCCAGGCCCAAGCGCCAGATCGTTCGAGCCTTTGAGTCGAGCCTTCCAGCGTTTGAGCCTTACAAATGTTATTTGTGATTTGTCAGATATCTGTGCTAGAGTAAGTTTTGTTAGTATTTAGTAAGTCATTTTTTGGAGTCCATGTTTGCTATGAGTGTTTGTATTGCCCTGCACATCAAGTAAATTCCTTTTTTGTCTGGAGTCGTGCATTTGGGTCTTATAATTTTCTTGTGTGCCCAAGTCGTCACAGAGATCTGGTGACTGATTTGCAAAACCTTAGAAATACTTCCTGTGACCCCTCCCTTTTGCTCACTGGCTTTGTTTTCTCCATTCAGGTTTAACTTGTCACTTGTATTCACTGGAGCTACTTGCTGAATTGTTATCAAAGTAAGTGACAGAGATGTTTCTAATATTGTGCGAGCCATCCTCCATTCTACCTGTATCAGTAACACGAAGGATTTCTTTGATTGTTTTATCATTTTCCTGGGTTTTCTCTGTGGTCCCAGTTCAAGAGAAAATTGATATATATGACTATACAGGCTTGCTTGATTTGGACCTATGATTGAGAAGCTTTAATTCATGCTACCATGGCTCATTTTACAATTACAACAATTTGAACACAGCTTCAATCTAAGTCATGAGCATATTAGCATGATGACACAGCCAAAGGTGTTCATTGTAGAATATATTGACGTTAGCGGAGGACACCCTCTTGTATATCATCACTATAATGTACGTAATATCCAGTCATAGCTCAGTTTCTGCATTATCAAAGGGATGATGTAGTTATTTGGTTACCTGAGGGCAAATATTATTTAACTCTTAAGTCTTAGTTAGGGGTGTCCAAACTACGACCCGCGCACCATTTTGAATCGGCCCTCAGCTAATTCAAAAAGCATAATGGAGTATGGCCCACAAAGAAACTTGTGCTCGTCTTGTTTTGTACTTCTTAAATATAGATGAAAACAGATAGTACACAGTATTCATGTGTTTAGAAGCCCACTTTTCAAACAATTCAGTCAATTAAAGTTGAAAACATTTTCTATCAAATCTAAGTTGATAAGAAAAAAGCCTGATAACTTATTTTCATAACACGCTTGAAATAAATCCTTTCTATTTCCTCTTATGATAATCACTCTGAGGCTCTTGTTGTAAGGAATGAGCTGCTAACAAAATAAATGAAACCCTAAGGAGAGCTGTGATGTAGGCTGTTGTTTTTCTAAAAGCATATTCAAGTATTAAGCATCATTTACCTACATTTGATTAATTGTGCTAACTTATGAGGCAATATACCTCATTTCTAGTGAGTGGCTCACCCCTTCGTATATTTGTTCTGTATGTGGCCCTCGGTGAAACAGTTAGGACAGCCCTGTCTTAAGTTAATGTGTTTCCTAAAGCAATCTCTGAAGTGGTGCACGATTCACATACAAATACAGTGTCAGCAAGTAAGCTACCTTGCATGCACTTTGTGACAGCGGTAGACAGGATGGCAAGGTGTAAAGCAAAATTCACATGAGTGCCAAGCTTTAGGATAAATGAGATGGTGTGTTTTATCAACACGCCATCTCTCATGAGTTGACCAAAGTTATTCCCCGCGTGTAGTCAGCAGTCTCAGGCTCACTCACATTACATTCAGGTCCCAATCTGAGAAAAAAACTCGTTTAACTTTCCATGACACGCTACTTTGTGACATCAGTAAGCAGAGCATCAGCTTTCCTTTGTGAATCTCTACCACGCACAAGGGCGAACTTGATGAAATATTTCCCATTTCCTCAGAAGGTCTAACCGCGTATCAGTGTGAGACTGTGCAAGCATTTGTTTGTCCACCACCATCACTGTGGCTAGATTACTCAACAGGCCCAAGAGAGGGGCTTTTGAGGCATCAACGCCCAGTGGCCCACTATCTCATACCATCTGCCAACCTTTTTTTCAGGTCTGTGAATGGACTAACAATTCTCTGATCAACACTTGTTAACACAGCATTTTCATTAAACCAAGCTGCAGTTGCAAGCACTTTTTTGAGTTAAGTTACGTTTGTAGATCTTTTCTGAAATGTTCCTGGCACTGGTCTTTTCCTCCGTGCGACAATTCCCCTCTTGAACACTGATGTTCCCATCAATCTTCCCTCAAACTGACACCTGCACACTCATCTGATGCTTCATCAACTGATGGTGTTAGACAAAACCCAACAACTCACTTCCATGATGTAGTGGCAGACATTGCAACAGCATCTCACTATTACATACAGTATGAGTCATGACTTGCAGCTCAACATATCTAAAAAGACAGTAAAGGTAACATCTTGCATCTTGGGTTATCACTCTGGTCATCACAGCTCGATTACTAACTTATCTGACCTTATTTCCAGTCCAGGCTAATTGTATTCAATCATGAAGGTGGCTTGGGGAAAGGCCAAACTTTGGTCAAAACACTGTGAATTAGTAAAACTGGAAATTATTGAGACTGCACTTTCTGTATTTATACACTACCAGTAAAAAGTTTTTTATTTCTTTAATTGTGTTCTACATTGTAGATTTATACTGAAGACATCAAAACTATAAAAGAACACATATGAAATTATCTAGTAAACAAAAAAGTGTTAAAAAAAGTGTTTCTTGGCCCAAACAATTCTCTTCTTCTTGTTGTTCAATTGGACCATGAAGGCCTGATTCACGCAGTCTCCTCTGAACAGTGGATGTTGAGATTGTCTGCTACTTGAGCTCTGTGATAATTGATGTGGGGTCTAATCTGAGGTGCTTTAATTTGCGGTTTCTGAGGCTGGTGACTCTGATGTATTTATCCTCTGCAGCAGAGGTAACTCTTGCTCTTCCTTTCCCGGGGGGTCCTTGTGAGAGCCAGTTTTAGCATAGCGTTTGGTGGTTTTTGCGACTGCACTTGAGGATACATTCAAAGTTCTTGACATTTTCCGGATCGACTGGCCTTCATCTCTTAAAGTGATGATGGACGGTCGTTTCTCTTTACTGAGTTGAGTCGTTCTTGCCATAATATGGATTACAACAGTAGTCAAATAGTGCTATCTAATGTGTACTAACCCTACCTCTGCACAACACAACTGATGGTCTCAAACATATTCAGAAAGCAAGAAATTCCACAAATTGACTCCTGACAAGGCACACGTGTTAATTGAAAACCATTCCAGGTGACTACCTCATGAAGCTGACTGAGAGAAGCCAAGATGTGCAAAGCTGTCCTCAAGGCAAAAAGGGGCTACTTTGAAGAATATAAAATAAAAATCATATTCTGGATTTTCTAACACTTTTTTGTTAACTAGATAATTCCATGTGTTCTTTTATAGTTTTGATGTCTTCAGTATTAATCTACAAGTAAAGAAACATTTAAATAAACAAAACACCATTGAATGAGAGTTTTTTCTGAGTTTTGTTTTCAACTTTGCTGCAAAGCTGGCCTGGCTCCCACCACATAACTCAAGTTAAAACCAAACACACACTAGAAACGTTTGGACACAGCAGAGCTTGCATAAAGCATTTGATGGCAAAAATAATGGCCTGTGTGTAGCAGGTATAGTCTTATGTTTTTTTAAATTGATTAATTTCAACAAAAATTCAGTTCTACTTTTACTGAATATATATTGCATTGTACACTTCAATGATGTCACTTTTACTGCTACATGTATCGTGGATATGCAACATTTGCTTCGGTGCACATCGGTACATACACAAACACAGTAAGAGGAATTCAGTTGTAAAACCGGAGTAAATATGGAACTAATATAAAGCTATTTATAACAACTATTATATAATTAGAAATACAAATAAATGTTTACAAGAAATAAAAATATACAAACAATGAAGTACAACCAGACAAATACAGTGAATGTGCGAGGTTTACAGTATTTTGAGGAATGGTTCACATGAAATGCGTTAATGTAATGTGACTATTAGGGGAGTTAAAGAGACAGCGTCAGAGGTGGTCCAGGCTTTATTCATGAGGGAAGAAGCTGATGTAAAGAAAGAGGCGTACAGGTTGATGGAGGGGGTGAGGATGGACCCAATGATGGCGGTGTAGAAGTTCAGCATCATCGTCTTTGGCAGGTTAAACCTGAGGTCATGGCCAATGATGTTTCCCAGGGAGCCGAAAGACTCCATTGGCTGGACTGGGTGGTCAGACAGGGAGATGGGGGCGGGTGGGCCTGCATTCTTACAGAAATGTACAACCATTTCCAGTGTCTTTAGAAAGTTAAGCTCTAAATTGTTATCAACCAAGTCACCAGATGATTATCTCCCATCTGTAGGCAGACCAGAGATGATCTGGTGAGGGTGGTGTGGTCTTTGAACTTCAGGAGCTTTTCTGACAGGTGAGCGGAGGTGCAGCTGTTGGTGTACAGGGGGAAGAGCATAGGGGAAAGAACGCAGCCTTGAGGGGAACCAGTGGTCCATGTCTAAGGGTCTGAGACGTGTATCCCCAGCTCCACGTGCTGCTTCCTGTCAGACAGGAAGTCTGTGATCCCCTGCAGGTGGAGTCGGGCACATGCAGCGGGGATAACTTGTGATGTAGCAGAGCCGGGATTATTGTGTTGAAGGCAGAGCTGAAGTCTACAAACAGGATCCCGGCGTAGGATCCTGCTGAGTCCAGGTGCTGGAGGATAAGTGGACTTCAGACTGTATGTTCAAACATAAATGAAAAAAACCTAGAAGATATTGTACATTGAATTGAGTTTCATCTGCCTGTGCCAACAACGTGACACCATGACATGGGAGCAGGTAGAGTGGGGGATATCCCCACCCTCTGTCTGACAGATTGAAAAGATAAACCAAAAAGCACCATTGGAAAACAAACGAGTCAGCAGCATTACTAATTAACTGGACTTGTGAAACTATAAAATCCCCGTTATTGATATTTACATATCTGTGTAAACACACAGAAACTAAGGTGTTGGGAGAGATGGGGCAAATAAAGCAGAAGATTTCAGTTTTTTTCACTCTTCAAGAACGAGATTCCCCTTACTCTAAGAATACGCTTTATTTTGCTCTCGATGGTGCTTCCTCTGGTCAAAATGAAAGACATTTCTCTTAATTAAGTGGACATGCTTACTTTGTAGATATTATCTGTAAGATGTG